TACAAAGGTGAAAGAGGAAATAAGATGGATCATAGAATCCCTAACCCAAACCCTATTAGAAAGGGAGTTGCAAAGGAAAAAAATGGAGGGAAATAACATTATGATGTTGTATAGTATTTGGTATAAAATTTTAGAAAAAAATAAAAGGAAATGAAAATTTTGGTAGAGATCATTAAACCATTCACTAAACAAAATTTTCGGATAATTCAACAAGTAAATGCTCTTTTAAAAATAAATTATTTGATAATTTGACAAATCTAACCTCATATATTAATTCCAATTAAAACATATATGTAGTACTTTGTTTGGCTGATTGTATGCGTGGGCAGAGCCAGTGTGTGCCCGGGGTAGGGGTGGGCATTTGATCCACCTATTCACAGGTGCGATCCGATCCAATCGAAATCAAATTGTTAGACGGTGAGGATTCAAAAATATAATGCTTTTAAATTGGTGTTACATGCCCAAGAAGGCTATGTCTGCCAACTTCTGATGCATTTTGATTGGAAAAGAGATCTTGCCACTATCTTACATAAATTGACAAATTTGAGGATAATGTTCCCAATCAAAATAATAATCACTTGGACAAAACAATACAAAGTTTATATTCAGTGTTCTATTTTCAATACAACCCTTTATTCCCTCCACAAGTTTGTGGTTTTGATGTTCAGAAGGAAGGTGCACAGTTGCTTGGATGAATATTGTTGTGACAACCTATCTCACTAGAGCAACAGCATGAAATGAACATTTCACTGCTATCGATTTTCATTTTAACATATACTTTAATTAAAAAACAATGAGGCAAGAAAGTATACATATATTACATGATGTCAAAAAGTAATTATCACTACACACCATGACATATATCTACTTAATGAGATAATCAGACTACAAAAGAAACATAATGAAATTACTTTTTTTTCGCCCTTTTTCTATTTGATAAGTAAATGAAATCGGTTTATCAAACTAGCATGGTATAATAAAAAATGCAATTAAAATTGTAAATCAAGGAAAGAAGGGGGGGAAAATTGCAGCATAGACAATAAAATAGAAAATGCAGAAAGATAATTGAAAATAACTTGCAATTGAAAACCAGAAAACTGGGAGGACAATGAATAATAACAATATAGGGTTTTTCCAACCATATGGAGGTATGCGTAACCCTAACCTCTGAATTTTTTATATTGACAGATTAGGGCTTTAAATACCACCATATCAATTTTAGGAGAGGCCAAGCACACAGCAACAACAGTTTGCTAATGCAATGTAGATCATAATGCCAACTCCTTTGAATTAAAATAAAAGACTAAACTAATTAAAAAAACTACCAACTTCTAAAAAGCAATTACTATTAGCTATTACATAAAACTTGTTCAGGTACAAAGCAAATACAACAAAAAGTCAAGATACCCAACAATCCAAACAAATAGCATGTAACTACGGAAATTGACTCCCAAAACAACATTAAGAAAAACATAGAATTGAAATAAAAACAACTAACATATTTATGAAGAGTATATACGTAAAAAAGAGTAACACAAATCCATCTCATAGCCTAGGCTCTTCATGGCATGTGCATGCTTTATTGATTTGCAATAATTCCAAGGCAAAAATCAGACTCAGAGATAAAAATTAGCTACAGCTTATCTCAAAACCAGGTTAGGATACATCTTCTTTCCTATCACAGGGATTACATAATATAATTTACAAGTTAGCAGAAAATGAAGTTTGGTTGCATTGTAACACTTCTTAGCCTATAGAATTTTTTTTTTGTCAAATTAGGGCTTTAAAAACCACAAGATTAATTTTGGGAGAGGCCAAGTGCACAATAGCTAAAGTTACTCAATGATATAAAATGACCTTTGAATTAAAATTTTTAAAAAATCCGTAAATCAACATCTTAAAGCAATTATATAAAGCTATAACAAAAAAGCTTGTTGTGTAGAGAACAACTACAGAACAAGAAATCAAGTAGTGAAGAATTCAATTACACAACCATACATAAATTTTAGTTACAAATGATGACACCATAAACTAGGTTAAGCATTAACCCAAGGGAGCAAAAACTATTAACAAGTTTCTGAAGAGTTTCTACGAAAAAATATATTGCAATTTCAAGATCCGGAATTCAAACATTTCTAATGGACAATAGAATGAAATTCAAAAGTAAGCATCCAACAAAGTTATCAATCACCTAACTTTAGGTTAGGATGCCAACCTAGACTCAAAACCAACATACCTAGAACTTTCTAGGCACTCAGCTGCCACTTACTTGACAATATGAAAACCAACACAACATTGTTTCAATACCTGTTATTACTTCTTTTTCATTCCTTCAAATCATAATTGGCTCCTAAAACCCAACCCACATTAAAAAGACCTACATTTAAAGAGAAATGTTGTTCATCTTAAAGGGGAAGCAACAAATGTACAAAACCAAATTCACTGTGACTTACATTGCTATCCATGTTGCCCCACACTTAAACTGAATTGATGATAATATCAAATAAATGGACCAAAAGAAAGTAAATTCAAGAGTAGAGAGAGAGAGAGGAGATGGAAATGAAGACGGATTACCAACATTAGCTGTATTAAGAGAAGAACCTAACTTAATAAAGCTGACAGAAAACCTCAATTTGCTAGCCTATATTACAGTCACAGCCTCATACCTTGAACCTAAAACAATCAAATTTACTTTGTTATCCCTTAAAATTGTAAACTCAGTAATATTTTTTGCAATTTGCACAAAATTTACTTCTACCAATATATAGAAGTTCTTATATTGCAAACATCCAAATTCATATAGTAATCACATGCATTATCTACTCTGACCGAATTAAACATAAGATGTATACAGATGCAAAGAGTTTTCTTAAATTATAACAAGCATTTAGGTCCTAGCTATTGACCACATTATCTTAACAAGTTAGGCTAGAGAATGCAATTTAGGTCACAAATCAAACATTAAAGATTACCTACAAACCGTGAAAACAGACCCATTCACCATATAGTACTCTGACCTAGAATTGTTCTTATGTCAATACATTAATGATACGCACTTGTTAGACTTGTCTAAACTCCAGCCAATAGCATAGCATCCCAGAATTAGTGATAATTTCCTACTACAATTGTCATTGACATCCCATTAAGTAATTAGCAGGGCTACAATCTCAACAAACAAATAATGGATTTGTATCTCTAATTTAAATCAAAATAGATTATCAAATTACCAACATATACGAGCTGAAATGTTGTATACACCAACCCTTGTACATATGTCAGTTGTATTTTATGCCCATAAAGCTTCAGAGGTACCAATATCTCCCGAAAAACACAATCAATCAATACCACATAAAGAGTGCCTTATTTGAAAAATAGTACTTCATGATCATGTTAAGAATGTATTCATTAAGGAAAAAAAAAACCATAATTTGGTGGGAGCTCATATTCTATGGGTGTAAATGTGTCTGTCATGCCATGGCAATAGCATTCAGAACGAGGAATTATTTTATAATCATTGCAACCCACAATTTTTATTACAATAATAGCAATGTGTGTATACGTATACAAGGCGAAACAATAACACAGACAGAGTAAATCTACAAATTGATCCGATAAAAAGTAACAAGAAAAATGCGAAAAGATTTTTATAATTATAACGAGTGAAAGGCACTATTAGTACTTCAATGTGATGATAACAGCTGGTTAGAGTCATTCCATTTAAAGATTGAACATTCACAAAGAAACCAAAAAATAAAAATAAAAAAGGTACTCAATTCTATGATTTGTTCATGCTAAGAAAGTAGTATTCATTAAGAAAAAAACATAATTTGGTGGGAGCTCATATTCTATGGGTGTAAATGTCTCTGTCATGCCATGGCAATAGCATTCAGAACGAGGAATTTTTTATAATCATCGCAACCCACCATTTTTGCTTCGTTTTACTTCAACAATAGCAGTGTATATATATGCAGGGCAAAACAATAACACAGACAGTAGATCTGCAAATTGAATACGTAACAGAAAAGATATTCCGACTATCAGGTAACAGAATAAAAAAGAACTAGCAGTGTTTCAATGTGATAATAACAGCTGCATACATCGTTCCAATTAACGATTGAACATTCACAAAAAAATAAAGTTTCACGACAATACGAAGGTGAAAGATCACATAATCTTTTGTATGGGCAGCACAGAGAACGTACTGGTTTGAAAGGTTCTATCAGAACTTCGTGTTATATAGAAGAAGACGGAAGAAACTCCGCCGCGCAGATTTATGTTCGAAACCCTAATCCTAAACCCTAGAAGAAAATTGGGGTCCGTTTGGATTAACTTTTTTTTTTTTTTTTTGACATTTTGCACACACTGGCTAAAAAATGATTACATATGTGTTTAATTGAAATTAACATATAAGGTTAGATTTGTCAAATAATCAAATAATTTATTTTTAAAATATCATTTACTTAATAAATTATAAACCCCTTATTAACATTTAAGTTTTAAATTTAAAAATTATTAAAAAAAATACTTTGAAAAATTTTGTATTCCAACTAAACACATATGTAATCAGCGTATATTGACAAAATTTACTATTTAACATCTTTTTCTCTTTCCTTTTTAATGGACTGCTTACCACAATCTTTTTGACATTTTGAATCCAATCTTCTTCTCTTTCCCTTTTAAATGTATAGTACTATTTTTAAAAATATTATTGGTATTTGTCATCATCTAACTATCAAAATAAAATAAAATCAAAAAAATTAAAATCAAAATTATAGGTATTTGTCTTTATCTAACTATTCTTTTTCTTTTTTTTTTCAAATATAGCTCAAGTAAATATAATTAAATGTCATGACTTTCAAGGATTTTTTAAAATTTTAATAATAATATTATGGTTGCTATTTAAAAATAAAATAAACATAATAACTTAATGAATATTTATGTTTCGTTTGGTTTGATTTGAAGGAACGTTATGTTGTTCGGACGTGTCACCTCTAAACCCATTTTTTTTTTTTTTTTTTTTTTTTTTTTTTTAATCCTATTTTACTAACCATTTGACCATGGGCACAGTTAGTGGTGGTTGAGTACCTACTAACAAATGTAAATAGATAGTATCAAATATGATACACAATTTAAAATCATAATTTAAGTCATATAATTCTAACTCATAATTTTACTACTAGTACATAATAGTTATTAAAAAATATTTTAATAGTTTCATAAATTTTCTAACTTTAAATAAATGACTTAAAATCATTAAAAACTGACACACTTTTATCATAGGTTTTAAACCTTTTTGTGTTTATTTTCCTCATTTAAAAATAGGCCTAAGTGCACTAAACCCACTGTTGTTTAATCGGACTGCAAAATAAGGTATTTTAAATAACCCCTTCCTACTTTTTTTTATGGCAATAAAACCCCTTAATTTTCCAATTGTTGCAAATTGCGCTTTTTGGCTGATTGTGACCTAACTCGAGTTAAGGATAGCGTAAAATTACATAAATACCCCCCAAAAAGGGAAATAGACAAAAATAAATATATAAATAAATAAAATTAAAATCACTATATATCACCCATTTCTGTGTCAAGCTCATGCACATCCATATCGCAGCACCTTCGTGCTCTATGGCTTGGGTTGAGAGCCAACTAATTAGGAAGATGAAGTACAAATATACTGACCAACATAGTCAAAACAGAGAAACAACAGTATTTCCTTTAATTGACAAACAATATGCATATGTTACATGATGTCCAAAGGTTGACATATATCTACTTAATGAACTAAATGAAATCATGATTTTTTTTTTAAATAATCAGTTTATTAACGTAGCATAAAACATGAGGGGAGAATTTAGGGGTCTTTTTTTTTTTCAAATCATGTGGCGGTATGCGTAACCCTAACCTCTGAATTTTTTATTTTGACAGATTAGGGCTTTAAACACCACCATATAAATTTTAGGAGAGGCCAATCACACAGCAACCAAAGTTTGTTAATGCCATGAGGATCACAAAGCCAAACTCCTTTGAATTAAACGACTAAAATATTCTATTGTAAATAAAAATAAAAAAAATAAAAATAAAAACTACCAACTTCTAAAAGCAATTTACCTTTAGCTATAAACATAAAAGTAGTTCAAGTACAAGCAAATACAACAAAAAATATAAATATACCAAGGCATAAAATTATACATATGTTGCATAATGTCAAATGTTACTATCACTACACCACCTTGACAAACATCTGCTTTCTGAAAGAAATAAATTTAATCAGTTTATCGACCAGCATGGTATAAAAAAGTGTAATTAGAATTGTAAAACAAGGAAAAAAAAAAAAAGTGAAACAGAACGCAGAAACGATATAATAAAAAGATGCAAACAAATAATTGAAAGAAACATGGAATTGAAAACCAGGAAAAAGAGAGGAGAATGAATAACAATATAGATTTTTCTTTTTTTATTTCAATCATGTGGAGGTGTGCGTAACCCTAACCTCGTTTTTCTTCTTTTGAAAGATTAGGGCTTTAAACACCACCATATCAATTTTAGGAGAGGTCAAGCAAAGTTTATCAATGCCATGTAGAACATAAAGCCAACTCCATTGAATTAGAAGACTAAACTAACAAAACAATAAAAACAATGTGCCCAATGCACCATGCACCGGACACATCGCCCTCCGAAGTAGGAGAATATATACAATGTGCCCAATGCACCGTGCACTGGACACATCGCAATTGTTCATGCCTACAACACGTGCAAAGTAGTAGGAAGAGGGTTTTAAGCCCCGTAGCCCATAGGGTCAAAGGGTCAAAGTGGGTGTGTGAGTATATTTCTAATCAAGATAAAATAAAAAATAAATAGATAAACTTTAGCATTAACTTGACAATATGAAAACCAACACAACATTGTTTTAATACCTTTTATTACTTCTCGTTCATTCCTTCAAATCAAAATTGGTACCTAAAAACAAACCCAAGTTGAGAAAATCATACACGTAAAGAGAATATTCATCTTCAGGGAGAAGCAACCGATGTTGGTTAGCAAATAGAAGCTTCCGTTTATAACAGCATCTACATACGGTGAAGCCCAATAAGATATAATGTGATCATCAAAAGATATGGTGAAGCTTCTCTTTCTGCATGGAAAGTGATACTTTTTATTTTTAAAACAATAATTTATCATTGCCATCTCAAAAGAAGTCCAAATTCAAATTCACTTCCAATAAAACTAGACCCAAAGTAAGTGAATTTGCATGTAGAGAGAGAGGAGAGATGGAAATGAAGAAGGATTACCAACATTTGCTGTATAAGAAACATACCATAATAAAGCAGACTGAAAACCTCAATTTGCTAGCCTATTACAGTGACAACCTCATATCATCAACCTATCAACCTAAGACAATCAAAGTTATTTAAGTGTAAAATCATAATAGTGTTTCGAAATTTGACTACACTTACTTCTGCCAATATGTAAAAGTTCTTATATGATAAACATGTAACTTCATATAGACAATGAAAACGATATCAAATCTGATGATATCAAATTAAACACGAGATGTATACAGATTCAAAGAGAATTTTCTTAAAGTATGACAAGTTTTAGGTCCTACCTATTGACCACGTTCTCCTTCATTAAACTTAATGAGCTAGGCTTGAGAATGGAATTCAGATCACAAATCAAGCAGTATAAATTAGTACCTAAAAACTGTGAAAACAGAACAGTTCACAATATAGTGAACTGAGCCAGAATTGTTCTTATGTCAATACATTAATAACTTATACTTGAGCATGTTTGTAATGTAGGGTGTCAGATTCCACTAAACACCCGACAAAAGCATATCATCCCATAATTATTGATAGTTTCTTACTACAATTGTCATTGGCATATGCCAATAAACAAGTCAGGGATGCCCTCCGTGTCGAGGAACATGTACTAGGGTGTCTCCTAGGGTGTATGTCCGACTCGTTCATCTCTGATTTAAATCAAAATTAATTATAAATCTACCAACATGTGTTGCTAAAGTCACAACAACTTGGAACAGACCAGCCCATCTAATTCTCAAAAAGGGTACAATAATTAAAAAAAAAATTACTTCTAAAACTGGGGTGAGTTGTTCTAGAATGCCAAGAAAGTATTCATTGAGGAAAAAATAAAAAAATAAAATAAAATTATATATATATAATTAGGTGGGTGCTCATATTCTATGGGTGTAAATGTGTCTATCATGCCATGGCAATAGCATTCAGAACTACGAATTTTTATAATCATTGCAACCCATCATTTTTACTTCAATAATAGCAAATTGTGTGTGTATATAAATATATGCATGTATACATATGCAAGGCAAAACAATAACAGAGACAGAGTATTGCTACAAATTGAACTCATAGAGAGTGACAAGAAAGATGCAGAAAGGGTATTATAGTTATCAAGTAAATTTGTTAAAGGCATAATAAAGATTAAACATTCACAAGAAAGAAAGAAAATATCTAGGTTAATGAACATGTCCATCAATTCCAAAAAATGGAAGAAAGATCGGAACTTTAGCTACAATACGAAGGCGAAAGAGGAACTAAGAAACATCACAGAAACTTGTTGATCGGCGACAGAGAGAGCGTATTGATTTGAAAGATTCAATCAGCACTTGGGTTATATAGAAGAATATCAAGTAACGCTGAGGCGCAGATTTATATGAGGAACCATACCCTAACCCTAGCTACAAAATTGGGGGCCGTTTCGATGGAGAGGTAGTTGCAAAGGAAAAGGGAAGGGATATGTTGTATTTATCCCAAATTTGGGAACGTACCTAACTTCACAAGTGAATACTAAAAATGTGTCGCCGAATCTATCTACCTTTTTTGTAGATGACTTTTAGTATTTTTTTATTAAATTGAATTATCAATTTGTTCGGGTGATGATTTATATTTTATAAATTTAACTCAAAAACCATTACATTACTTTTCAAATTGAACACTTATTTTAAAGCAGAACACTTACTTTGAAATAAGAGAATAATTATTTATTTCTTAATTACACAATTACCCTCCCAAATATATTTGGTCTCCCCTTCTCTCTCGTATCTTTAGGCTATATTTGGCTTGGTTTTTGCGGCTCCAAAACGAGCTTTCATGTTCAAAAAGACATTCCCAAAAATTTAGCATATTTGGTGAGTGTTTTGAAACGGGCTTTCCCTAAACGCCAAAGTCATTCAAAGCCCATTAGAGTGAAGCCGAAAAAATAAGCTTTCAGAAACGCATTCTCAGGAAGTTGAACGACACTTTAAGTAATATATTTTGATTTCCAAAATTATCCTTATATGTGTTAAGTTATTACAGTACCATATTAACTTACTGAATTACAACATTGGTTTTCTCTATGCGCTTTTGGGATAAGAAGAACACCGATAGTCCATGAAGAAGAATATTATTGCTCGACGCCGGTGAGCAAAACTTGAAGAAGAAGTTGCTTGAAGCTGACACACACGGTGTGTGTGTGTGTGAGAGAGAATGATGTATTGGGTAGTTATTGAAAGAACAAGTGATACTGATAGGATAAGAATTGATTAAGGAACAACTAATTGATAACTATTGATTAAGGATATATTTGTTTGCTATGTAAAGAGATACGAATGATTGGGGTGTTGTGAATAATGATAATATAGTGGAAACTTATCTATGGTGTTGTGATTGCTCTTAATTTTTGATTTTTGTTTAATTTTTCTTTTAGTTAATTATTGTTTATTTTGGAATTAGTAGTTCAATTATTTATACAATTTGGCAAATTCACATTTGTTATTAGAAATTTATTATCTTCTTTAAATAAATTTATATTATTTATTTGTTAATATAATTATTATGCAATTTTATTGGTACAAATATTTTTATGTGGTTTTTTCTTTAATGACAAAATAACAATGAGGCTCATTTTTAGCCCATAGCTATAGGAAAGAAAGATAAGAGAGCAATACTCCCACCCAACAAGGTTATAATTTTTCCATGCATTCAGAAGCATGGTAGCTACGCAATTTATTCGGAACTCTTAAATCTTATTGCAAGTGTCACCAACAAACAATAAAAGGGCCTTGGAAAAGTGTAATACCTAGTTAAGACCAAAAGAAAGAGAAACCCTTCCCAAATACGGTTAAATAATTATATAAGAGTATTATTGTAAACTTATGTTTATTTTATATCGAAAGGACTTTGGTCATTTTGTTTCCAAACAAGTAAAATAATTTTCGCAGCTAAAACAACTTCTCAAAAGCAATGTTCACCAAACGTCTTTTTTTATTATCAATTCTTTCCAACAAAGTCATTTCTATAAGTCCTTTATAATAAAAGGACTTTTTATTTTGAAAGCTCCTCCAAACGCAACATTAATTTTTATAAATAAATTATTACAGGGAAAAAAAAAAAAAAAAAGTTCTATCCTAAATAAATTATCTATTTTGACAATACTAATAAATTTAAAACCATGCCCCCCTCAAAAAAAAAAATTTAATTAAATTAATTAAAAAAATTAAAGCTTGTAGTATAAAAGATAGTTATGGTATTTTAAAATAAGATATGGTGCATTAATGAGTATATGAACTTTTTTGTCATTTTATTTAGAAGAAATAAACAGGTGGAGTAGGAATATCGCCTCCCTAAAATTTTAGAAAAACATTAAGAGTAATTCAATGTGAGATGGATTTCATGACAATTGTCATTGGCTCTGTCTTTTTGTCGTGATAATGTACAAACTTTGAGTTGCCCATATAACCATTTGAAAGAAGCTTATACAAGAATCTCATTGCACATCAAAATTTATTTACGGATAACAAGAAGTCAAGTGGATGAGTTGATTTAACATTTAAACTCATAGGGTTCGTTTGGTTAGCGTGAAAAAACCAAAAAGGAAAAGAAAAAAATATATATTTTTATTTTTTCGCATGTTTAGTTAGAGGGAAAGTGAAAGTTTTGGGGAAAATAGAATTCCCACATCTGAAAAAAATTTCGCGCATAAAATACACGAAAATTCACTTTCCCGCAAAAGCTATGCACTTTAATATATTACTTTCCTATTATACCCATGTCAGTTTTCTCTCTTCGTTCTTCTTCACTAAAATTACAGACTTCATTGAAAAGGTAAATAGCATTATTCTTCATTAAAATTACAGAAAAGGTAAATATGTGAGTTTCTTCTTCTGTAAATTGCTTGTTTATACAATCAAGTATTACTAATTTAATTGTTTGTACATCCAAAATTCTTTTTTCTTTCATTGTGGAATTTTTTTTTCATATATATTTTTGGATGGTATGAAATTTGTAAGATATTTTTTTTCCATAATATATACATAAAAGTTGATAGCAAGAGTGTTGGGTGAAAACTAGGGGTAGTGTTGGAATTTGATCGGTTGGTCAATCAAACATCAACCTTCGCAATAGCACGAATCATTGTAAAATAGGGCTATTGGTCGGGTAAGTCGAACCACTGGGACTGTGCTAGTCTTAAGGCAACCTAAGTATCTAGAGTTATTTTAGAGTGATAAGGGGTGTTCATAGAGGGTTTGTTTTGTTTGTCACTAAACTACAAATTCAGAATGCATAAAACAATAAATTGAAGGAGATTAAAAGAGAAGATTTAGAGAAGGAAGTCTAGGGAAGTGAGTCCACTCCAAACCTCTACACAAGCTAATTATATGATTAATTTGGGGAATTAATGTAGAAATGACCTTGATATATAATAATACATGACTACTATAATATCTTCAAGAAATTCAATTAATTAAAGAGTAAGAACAACCTATCAAAGCTTCACATGGTTGAGTTACCTAAACTAAGATGCAACCCTAGACATGCTCACTAAGCTAGAGATTGTCAAACAATTAATTAATTGGTGGAAGCACATGATATCAAGTCACAAGATTAACTCATCAAAAGAAATTCTTAAGTTATGGATTAACAAGCTACTCAAAACCATGCCATTAAAACCGTTCCATAATCTTAGTTCCATTGTCACTATGAAACTATAAGCCATACACTATGAGATTAAATAATCTAAGACAAGAGTATGTAAATCGACATAGTCATTCAAACATTCAAAATCTTCATTACAATTTGTAACATGCTCTAGACCATGGAACTAGCCAAATATACATTTCATTCCCCAAAATAAATCAAAAACTAGACATGCTTACAAGGTAGAGCTTCATCACCTCCCTAGATGGAGGTTTAGTTACCCATTGATGCACTAGAGGGAGGAGGAATCAAAAGCCTTGACCTCCATTTTCGAGCTCCCCTTTTCTAGCTCCAAGAACACCCTTTTCTTGCTCTCTTCTCTCTCCTCAATCTTGCCAAAATTCAAGGATAGGATGCATGTGGCCCTTAGTTGCCTTATATCTTTCAACCAAGCTCTCTCTCTCCTCCAAAGACATTCCCAACCACTCCATAAAGAAGGAAGGTGGAAATGTGGAAACCAATGCACAAGTGGGCTGAAGAGGGGTTCATTTCCGAGCTACAATCTGGCTGATTTTCGAGCACTCGAAGAGTGGTCTCGAGCACTCTAAATTAGTGTAATATGCAACATGCTCTTCTTGCTCAACACTGACCTACTTTGGTAAAACTGCTATAACTTTGTGCCCCGAACTCCAAATGATGATCTGTTTGAAGATTTGGAGAGCTGATTCAGTGCTTTAAAAACTTCATGTTTTGATGAAGACCCAATTCTCAAGTCTGGTTGGTCGAAAATGGGGAGAAAGGAAGTACTTCAGTGCTGCCAGGCAGTTCTGCGCACCTCTGTTAAGAAGATCATAACTCTCTGTTCCGAACTCCGAATGACGAACCGCTTGAAGATTTGGAAAGCTGATTCAGAGCTCTAAATCTTTCATGTTATGATGGAAGTCCAGTTATTGAGTTTACTAGGTCGAAAATGGCGACAAAAGTCAGGTTCTACCGCTGCCAGAAATTCAGAATTGGCACCCTTTTTGTTCATAATTCCACAAGGCATCATTTTTGCTTCCTTTTTGCACTTTAACCTGAAAATGCACAAAAACATGCAAATGGAGTTAATCTACATAAAATAATCAATTAATGGACTTTGTTAATGTAATTTAGGGCGCCTGAATATACAGTATTCAGCGCTTATCAGAATTGTTGGTCGTCGGCTAGAGGAGAACAAGCTTGGGAACGGCCTTGAAACTCACCTATTGTCAATTCTTTCACAACTCTGCCTATTCATCTACGTCATCTCTGTGTGTTCAAACCAGAGCCAAAACTCTAGCTTTATAAATACTCCCAACGACGTCTTATGTTTGAATTTGAATTCGAATGCTTAAGAAGCCTCCATTCTCTACACCACCAAGAATCACAAAGAGAATTGTAAACGACTAACCCTAATAGTAACTTGAATCGCAGAGCGAGTTAGAGATTGAGGCTTAATTCCGTGAACTTAAGCTCTGCTGGGTCAGCCTCAATGAAGACCCAGAAAGAAAAAGGGATTTTAGGTAATACTATAATGGTGATGCATAGCAAAGAACATGGAACAGAGAATAAAAGGTTCATTTGGAGAGAACAATTTATAGTTTGAAAGTAGAGAGAGGTATTTTTGCTTCTTCCTGTCAATTTTTTTTCTTTCTTCATAATATTATATCTTATTTTCTTCTCCATTCCATATATATTTTGATAAAAATATAAATAGTGTAATTTTGAGGTTTATCACATACCAAGCAAATTATGCTCTCTCTTTCTTTCCTTAGTTATCTATTTCTCATTTTTAAAAATTCCTGACATATAAAATTGTATTATATATATTTTCTACCATATCATTATATAATTTGAATGTCAAAAATTTG